ATAATTTTGACAGCCACCCATGTGGCTTGCGACTGTGAGGCCCAGAGGGTCTCTATCCCGGACAGGCAAAGATCCGCCCCACGGCTCTGCTTTGGACTCCTTTGTTATACGGGAAGTCTATCCCCAAACAGAAAACCCTATTGTAAAGATCTTGAACTTTGAACCCCATCACACAAGAAACCACTCAAGCTCCAGAGTGTTGAACTCCTGTAAATCTCGAAGCCCAGAAGTTCAAGCTCTGAATGCCTCCATCCACCGGCACGAAGCTCCCAGGCATCCCTGTGGTCGTCACCTGAAGGGTCTATTTTCTAGCGTTGGCTCGGGATTTGTTTGAGACATGGTGGTTTGCGATAGCAATCCTCTTCTATGCTGGAGCTCCTTTTTCCCAACCTACCTTGTAGGAATGGAAACAAAGCACTTACTTCTGTTATGAATCTTTATATACATATGTATATCTATATATACAGATATCTCTCTCTCTTCTTCTCTCTACACCGGCTTACTGAGCTACGCACAGGTTCAGGGGACAATATTAGCTTCCTAGAGGGTTGTGCGACAAGTTCTTGCAAAGCTGCTAGCACTCTGAACTGATGGCCCGAACAGCAGGTGATCCCAGTACAAGTGCAGTATCACACTTTTGGGATGCTCAGACATAGCTCGCGCGAGCAACGGCGTGCAAACAAACACGAGGGCCCCAGCACTGAGGGCATCGCAGGCGCTGCAGTCGTGGCAGGAGTGGTGGTGGCCATCGTCGTTGTGGCCATTGTCGTCGTAGCCATAGTGGTTGAAGCCATGGTGGTTGTAGCCACAGTGGTTGTAGCCATTGTGGTGGTCGTTGTGGCACCTCTCGAAGCTGTTCTATGGGTGGAATTGCTCTTGCGTTCAATCTTGCTGCAGTTTGGACTTGCTACGATGCTTCTTTCTAACGGTACTCGTACCTGGCGCCAGCTGCAGCTTGGGTTTAAGCTACTCCCGAGCGCACCTAGCCATGGAAGATTGTAACACAAGGTTTTGGGGCGCTGTGACCATCGTCATTTTACCCAAAACCTAGAAGCCCACCAGGACTACAGCCCGAGTACGACCTGGCACAGGGATGTTTAACAGAACATTCCAGGGGTATATGGCCTGGGGTTTAGGATGAGAATGAACCACACTCGAAAATCTAATGGAAAATGAGTTGGAAGCTACTATGTTGTTTCCCATCGCCATAACCCTGATCCAGCAAAATCGAATCAAAAGCATCAAGCATGGGATTTCACAAGCTTTGAAGCCTTTTGCGGAACATAAGCCCGTATGAACAAGTTGTCAGTGACTTAGATGAACTTACAGGGTGGTGGTGGTGGTGGTGGTCGTAGTAGTAGTAGTAGTAGTAGCAGTAGTAGTAGTAGTAGTAGCAGTAGTAGCAATAGTAATAGTAATAGGTACCCGGCAAGGAAGCCCAAGAAGCAGATAGCTGGGTAACACAGGCCCACAACAAAAAGAAATAGCATGGTTTGGTAAGTCTTCCCTGTTGAGCACATGCAACCATAATGAAGACGGGGATGAGTACAGTCATAATATCAGACAGAATGGCATCCTAGTATAATATGGCGAACATAGACACAGCAATAAAACGAGAACAGTATCATGACAATGACAAGAATACACAATCATGATGATGATCATAAAAGGATGCCCCGCAGTGAAGCCACTTGTCAGCTCGAACGGTCCAACACTGTTCAACCACGTGAGACCTTCTTGTCTCAACTCATGTCCACCACTAAGCTCTGCTCAAGTGTAGTGCCCCAGCGCACTTGTTGCCGCAAAACACAATGCACGAACTCCTGAAGCATCATGCTACATCTCCGTCTGAGCTCTATACACCCTTCAACGAAATCTTGTGACCCCTCGTTTTTGGACCAAGGTTTACTTGCTTCAGACGGTGCAGGGCACAAAAGTCCCTAACCAAGGCATGTGCCAAACGCGTAAAGTCTTGGGTTAGATATCTCGACCCTGTAATAGGATCCAAAACGACCACCCGAACTGCTCCATTACTACGTTGGGGAAATGAGAGGATTATTGGGCGGCTTGATTGTTATGATCATGTACGTGCTCTGGATAGGCAGCGCTGCCGAACAGCAATACGTGCAATGAACGTAACCAGCTTGCAAAAAGCCTGGGCACCACAACAGGCCATTCTCGGCAACTAATCTTTTGAATGTATGAGAGTACTATAGACCCGGAAGTTGCATGAAATTCCTCAAAAAACCGTAAGGCCACAAATCCCTCAACCTTGAGCCTCAAACCGGGATCTCCATCATTCCATCATTCTGGGGCCTGTCGTTGTCGCCATAGGCGTGGTCGTCACAGGGCTGAGGATGTTGCAGCTCCTGGGCGTGGCTTGGGGTTTTAAGTTTTGGGGTTTTGATGACAAAACATATGGCGGGAATCTTGATCAGAGTGAAAATCTGTGCGCGCTAGGCCTGAATATCCCGTAGGTGTCAGGCCCCGTGAAACTGAGCGGCCTGTGTTCCCAGAGAGACAGAGGGAAAAGAAGGGTGCATATCACCAAATAGGCTCATAAACAAAACAACCTCCTGCCTGTTGTCAGCAAGGAATCAAGGAAAGGGCTACGGCTATTACGTACAGGGAACATGGGGTTCCTAGAGGTGATGATTGCAGGAATCCCTTCCTGCAGCCCCTGCTGGCAAGAGGTGAGAACCAAGGCTCCACGGAGTCTGATACTCCGGTGCGTCGTTCAGGCTGATGCCTCAGTTAGGTGAGCAAATCTTGGTTGGGGATGTAGGCCGCCAAGTAGGATGCAGCTGCTTTCAAAGATTGCCCGTTGGCAGGCTCCAAGCATAAGGAAGTCTGTCTAAGTTCCATGTAACGGGGAGCCCCATATTTTCTGGGTGTACCTCAACGTATACGGGTCCTTGTCAGCCGCCTTAGGATGAATGTTCTAGCACTTTACTGCACAGGTAAAGCCCTCTAAGCAATGCCCCTCCCACGAGTCGCGCGTCAAGGAAATTCAGGAGTTCTGCACCAAATACTATTGCTTCAAGAGTTTGGGAAACTCCTCCATTATTGTTGTTGTTATCTTTATTGTTACTCCCGTCTTTCAAGAAAGAACGGAGAGCTGGACAGGTCCTCTCGCAATCAGGCATACCGAACGCATCCTGCAGATGTGATTTATCAGACGCAAGTGAGCGATGAGGTTGAGAAGGCCTCAGGCAGTTTGTGTGCGTGCGCGAGAACTCCATCGGGGCGGGGGGGGGGGGGGGGNNCGTTTCTCAACATGTTTCGCATGAAGCTTGAATAGGCATCGCGTAAGCGCCTTAAGTGGGCCGATATTTAGAAACCCATGCATGTGTGCCAAGCCCAATTGAGCCCAGCCCGTAAAGCCAAGGCAGCGCTTCACAACGCCTGAATACATTCCAACGTACTGTGGTATACTCATGGGGAGACTTACAAGGTCAAAGCGTCGTTCCAGTCTTGTACCCTCCCAGGTACAAACTTATCATTGGCAACAGTTTGCGACTATGAACCCTCTCCCCTGTTTTCGCAGGTAGCCCCGTACTAAACCACTAAAGAGGGGAACGTCACGTCGGCTCTGCCGGCTCCAACATACTCCACTCCCCCAAGAATCAAACAAAGGTGGCCCTGCAGGACTCCTGTGAGATCTGGACAGATTAATGATAAGCTAGGCATGCCAGGTAGGAGCAATAGTGAAATCTGTGATAGTGCCCTAAGGGCGGTTCCTCAAAGTGATGCATCTGGCACATGCCCAAGGTTCAACTACCTTCTTACCGAGTGCCGTGACAAGTTACTGCACACCTACCTCCAACAGCGGGGCTCCCCGGAATCCTAAAAGCCCTCGTCACCTCAGAACCGTCTAAGCTTGAAGCCCTAAGCCCTCAACCCTTGCGCTTCCCTGGCCTGGAGTGCAGGACTGCCGGCACTGGGCGTAGTACTGATCTTTTTCGTAGCAGATCCATCCAGCATCTTTGCAGCAAAGCGTCCTGGGCTTGGGGGATTTGGGTTCTAGGGCCCAGGGCCCTCAGCCAATCAGCGGTGACATCTGCTTCTAATTGAACATACTTGTCCTCCAAAGGACGGAAATTTGGACTCCGGCTAAGCCAGAACACGGAACTCCGAAGTTCCAGCCCTAAACCCTGATTGGACCCTGTTAAATGTAAGCCCCCGAAAACATGAAGTAACAAGGCTCGCATTCATCAATTCTGCAAACCTGGTCTGCAACTATCCCGAACTGAGACAAACACTTTGGAAAAAGCTTCTGGATACTTCCAGACGTTTCATCTCCTCCTCTCGAGACTAGTGGTCCCTAGCATCGATGCCAGTATGCCACATGTACTGCGCAAGAAGCCCTACGCAATCCCTCTTCACAGAATGCAAACCAAAAGGAGCATTCATGGTGCCTCTAAGCACGCGCTATACGAGGTTCAAGTCCAGGAATCATGAGAAAACACGCATGGCTGAAATCCTCAGAACTCAAGAAGAAAGCAATGCAGACTGCGGCCAACGGTTGCCAGCTGAGTCCCCTCATATCTGTTCTACACACCAGCTATATGCGGTTCGTAACCCTTGCCTATCAGGGAGCAAATCTTGACCCCATGCCGACTAGTGGAAGAAGGCTGCTTTATCAGATGCTCATACCCTGAATACCAAACCAATGGTGGAACCCTACTTCCGACAGCTTTCGTGCCCATCTTAGCAGCAGAGCGTCGATCTGCAGCCTGGCACAAGACAAGACCCAACAGCGTGAGACACTGCCACAAACTGGCAGCACATGGAAGCCCATTTTAGGCGTAAAAAGGGACCCGCGACAGGATGTAGAAGAACTAGGTTGTTGTCGTGTAGCCCGCAGAAGGGTGCCAAGAAAAGCACTTTCAAGCATCATGTCGACCCCAAACCCTCCATTGCTTAAGAAAATGGCAAGGTCCCCAGTTTTGTCCTTGTCTGTTGATCGCGGGCTTGCACCACAACCACCACCGCCACCAACAACAACCAACACAACAACCATAGTAGCAGGAATCATGCCATGGTCACAGCAGCTTCAAATGGGAACAAGGATATGATCAACGACCCCTCCAGCGCCCCTATGCTTGGGGCCATGGCCGTGCAAGTAGAGAAAAATGTAGACCATCCCACCTTGCCACTTTTCACTGCAGCCACTCACATCTCTTGTTGTCGTCGGCCCAGATGGAGTAGTTGTCGTCTGTTCCGTGGTGCGCGACCACCTGAGACAGCACGAGCTTAAAGTATGTGCTTTTGACAATAGGAAAGCTAACATGAGGCGGCCAATATCAAGTTGCGCGCACCTTGCTAATGCGAATGGTATGCAACAGTTGTGCCACATATGCTTGCAGCATAGCACAATCTTAGTAGGGTGTTGCGTGCTCGTTTTACCAACTTGCAACAACCCCATGCCCCATAATTGGCTCTGGCTGACGCGGTTACGCAGCTCGAGCTTTTCGAAACATGCTTGGGAGCCTTCATGGCTGTCCCAGACGGCTCACAGCAGCCAAAGAGCTAAGGCGATTTTGGCGAGCTGCTGCCCAGCAAGAATCAGTTCCCGCTCTCTAACACAAGGACCAGCGCAAGATTTCTCAAGCTAACGAGCTTCACAGGAAAAGGGGCGGCAATCAAAATCTCCGTAGCGTACGCCACTAGACGACAGAAATATGATAGAATCTTCGTGTAACCACTAGAAATGCATCACTAACAATACGAGGCCTTTCAAAATTGCTAGCTGAACAGGAGGGATCCCTGTAGAGGACTGCAACACACTACTGGAAAGCATCCCAATTGCCATTGCCCTGTCAGTCGAGAAGCTCAGTGGTCGAACCCGTGAAAGGCGTGGTGGAGAAACTTCCATCCAGTGGCCTTTTTTTCGGATCCCTACTCCCCTCCCCTCATATGGCTGGTTGTCAAAATTGTGGTCCCTTTTGGGGTACCCTAAATATTAGGTGCCGTATTATAATCGGGACCCAAAAGGGGACCATAACTTTGACAACCACCCATATGGACCTCCCATTCTTCTCTCTGGAATGTGTGCGTGTGTGATTGGCAGGCGGGGGGTCTTAGTTGGGGGTAACGCGTGCATGAGACAGGACTCAGTTTACCCATGATGTCGCTTTAGTGGCCCAGGGGAGAAAAGTTTTTCACTCCGGGACTTGGGGCTGAAATTGATAGCGTATCTTAGAATCTCCTCTGCGGCCTCTGCGTGGGCGCATATAAAGCCTGCGTATGCAAAATGGGCATATGGTATGCTAGATGCATTGCTTGGGTAAGAATTGGAAGTAGTAGAGCTGTGGGCCAAGTTTTGCATACAGGGATGTGACTACCCCATCTACAGCTATCTTGCCTGCCTGCCTGCCAATCCCAGCACGGTCCCGGTACACACCTGATAGCTTCTCCGAAAAATAAGTGCTTTTCATGGGGCCTTCGTCTCATTGGGACTTTGGGCAAGACTAAAATCTCAGCATGGGGGATCCCTTCAGCTTTAGGAACCGCCAAGAATCAGTTGCGCATTCTCAAAATGGTAGTTACTAGCGACCTCGAGGACATATCGTCAATGTAAGGAGGTTATGGGGATCCAACATAGGGGTCAGCGCCAGGGAACGGAGGCAACTGCAAAGAGCCAACGCTCCCGGACCGGCTGCTCGAGATCTTGTATCGGATTCCCTCAGCTCAGACATTAGGGCGTTTTGAATGCAGATTTCGCTTCTGTCAATGCGAGCTGGGTGCCGCACCGCAACATCAACCCTAAACAGTAAACCTTAACTTTATGTTCTTGGTTGTTCCCCTTTGTGAGGCTGAGATGTGGCTTTATATAGGCTTCACATGGCAGAGGTTGAGAGGATGAGGGTTGGGGCTTAGGAGGTTAGAGTTTAGGGATGTCCTCAGCAATCGAAGATCTCGGCACTTTGGTTTCACCCAAGTGTCAGGTTTCAGGTCATGCACATTTGGTTGTAGCTTTGTTTAAGCTATGCGGTGCAATCAAGATAGTTCTGATAGCCTGCCAAAGCAGACGGACCTAAAGTCGGCACGGTCAAATCCAGGAATGCGGTATGAGAAAGTGAACCCGTATAGTGGCCCTTATGCGACCCCGCCAAGTAGAACCCCTAATTCCCCCATCACTCTCTTAATGACCCGCAAGACGTCAAGTGGTAATCCTGCCACTTGCCAAGGCAACCGAGGCACCCTGCCGCCATCATAACCTCAGCCAGTCTAGCGGTACACTTGAACTCAACTCTCCGTTCTTGGGAGCTGTGGCACAGCTCAGTCTCTTCTGCTGGACTTGTGGAGGTCCCACACCTGTCTCGAGATGCTACTCCCTGTTACCATGTCAGGAAGACCACATGCAAGGTAGAAACTTGCCCAATAATGGCCAAGTCACGGTGCCCGCTCATCAGCTGCGATACGCCAGCATACTCAAAGAAGCCGTTGTCTTCCTAGGGCGAGGTTTACGGTTTAAGGTTGCTTGAGCAGCGCTTTTCAGCTTTAGGGTGTATTATGTAGAATTTGGGCTGCAGAGTGT